TCCAGGATGCTTAAGGTTGTCCACCCTATTTTCGAAAATTCCAAATGCAACTCCCTGCATGGTCTTCAACGAGGTCACCTACAACGAAAGTATGTATTGTCCTTTCATACAGCAGCGTGGGTAAAGTTTCGTGTTCAAGGTAACACCTACAAATACAAGAATACTAGTTCATTCCGCCGTGACGTATTGTGATCAGTGTTGACAGGGGTGCCCTTACTTCGCATCACTGGTTAGACAGACAGGATGCCAGGGAAGGAACCGCGGTCAATCCTTGATGAAAAGTTTTTTTAACCCTTTGAAGACTTCTCTTCGTCCGGAACCACTACCTTTAAGGCGAAGCGCCAAGCCTGCGAGAAAGTAATTTCGGGATAAAAAAAAAACAAAAAAACTTCCACTTCAAACTTAGTCTCATCTCAGTTGGCGTCTCAAAAAATTTTGAAAAATGTATTGCATTATCAGTATTTATATTTTTGCCCTCCTTAAAATGTATTCCTGTATTTGATTTTCCAAAGACTTTTTGACTTTTTTGAAAATGTATTTCCGATAAGTATCGCGATACATTTGTACAGATATATTTGAGTATCAGTATTTTAGCTACTATTTTCATCTAACCCAACATTTGTATTTTCAAATACATTTTTGACTATTTCTGCCCAACCCTGCAAAGCAATGCAGCTGTCAAGTGCCAATTTTTACGTTCAGGAATTAGAATGGAATGGAACGATTCAGCCATTCCAGGAGTGGGAATGGGCCCAGTGTCCCCATTCCTAGGAGTTGAAAGGAATTGAATTATCGAAGACTCTAATTCCCCGGAAGGGAATTGGAATCGAATGGGGGTGCCCATTCCGCAACACTGCTCTGTAGTAGCTGAACTGTTGTCCAAGTTCATCTCATCGCCCTTTCGCTGCCAATTAATAATGCAATTCAAATTAACGCAAAAATAAAGTTCCTTAGGTTTTGAAAATAACTGTAACGGTATATCTTGACGTTCGTACGAGGGTAACGAATCTCACTAACCAGTTAATTTTTGACGATCTGAAGAGTGACACTATTTTGTTACTATCTTCTGTAATGGCTGCACCACTGCTTGGGTCCCACTGGTGCCAGAAAGCCCAATACCCTACATCGTGGCATGCACCTTGAAGCTAACCACTTCCCCTTCATCGCCCGACCACGATCTCTACGTGGATGTGTGTGGGTGCGCGGGCATGCGGTGAAAAATCGAGGTACGAGTGTTCCAATGGGCTCGTAGCTACCATCACCCCGCCAGCTTAGGCCCTTTGCACGTGCCATCACGAAAAACTACTGCCAGCATAATTGGGTAATTCCAAGTAATTAAATTGTTAATGACTGATTTTAAAGGCATGGTTACTAATAGAATCTTAGTGAGCATCATCGAAAACTACTACATACGTTACAATGGTAAAAGGCACGCGCAGCATTTTACGGCGTTCCGAAGAAATGGTGTCGGTTTTTTATCGGAGCGCATCTCCTCGCAAACAATCCCGCCCCCGTGTCTAATGGTGAATTCCGCTCGCAGATCTCGAGCGCTCCAAAACCGCTCCACTTGGAGCTCGCATATTCTGCTCGCAGATCTGGCTCGAGTTGGTCATCTTTCACTCAAACATCTCTGGCAGTGCCCGCTCCATGCAGCGTCTCCAACCCTGCCGAACTTGCTCCGTGGGATTTCAGAGAACTTTGCTGAAGTTGGCAGAACGCACCACATCATCTCCTTTAATTTGGCCGTGGCACATGTGTGAAGAGGTCAGGGGGGGGGGGGGGAGTGAGCTGACCGGCCGCACCGCCAACAGCATTGAGTCGGTCGAGCTGGATCTACTCGGATGCGTCGGTCGTTTTATGCGGGATTGTGACGGCCCGAGCGTATCTACCTTGCGTAGATAACAAATGCAAAGCCAGGACTAAAGCGGGGCAAATCACAAGTGCTGTCATCTGTGATCATGAGAGGAACAATGAGAAAAAGAAAGGCCGAAAATCTGAAGGAGGTGGATCCAAGGTTAGGCCTGTTCATTTTGCCGCCACCGATTGTTTACTTTTTTACACTGCATGCCCCCGCGTTTTTTCGTGCAATAAACCAAAAACTGATTAGGCGACAACCGTGCAAGTGATGGTTTGTTACCTCCGTGTTTAATAAAGTCGTACCAGAAATTTTAACTTTACCAATGGCAATCGGTGTGCGTGCCCCACCGGTTCGAGGCGGCCGAAAGGAATGAGACCGTGGCGAACGCGGACGTCTTTCTCGTTGTTTTTGACATGGGCTCCTTGGGTGGTACGTATAATTTTGCCCGGCCTGTGTCGTGTTTTATTTCTGCAGCCAAGCACTGACAGCTGTCACTGGTCGTCGGAAAGATCAGTCGGCTGAGGCGATGGTGGGCTTGTTAAGTTCAGGCGGGGAGGGGGGGGAGTTGGGTGGGGGAGGTCGCTCCAAAAACACGAGTTCCTCTTCCCCTCGTCGTTTAGGAGCGGGTCCCACGGAGCAGAATTTTGCCTCCTTTGCAGAATTTGGAAAGCGATCCGGATCTACAAGTGGAATTCACCATAGGATGCACGTGTGTGGCGCCATGCATCGCACATAGAGAAGTCTATATAGGAAAGCCTCCGGACTGTCAAGTGAGGTCTGCCTTTTTGACATCGGTGCCAGAGTTAAGACGCACCTCACGTGCAATGCGTAGCAACGAACGCACGTTGCGAGGGGGGGCGAGATTGCCCGCGTGGAGATGCGCCCCGATAAGAAACCGAAACCCAGAAACGTGTCCAATATGTGCATTTTCTCGGAACGCCGTAAAATGCTGCGCGGGCCTTATACCATTGTAATGTGTGTGTGATTAGTAGTTTTCGAAGATGCCGAGAAAAATTATAATTGAAACCACGCCTTTAAAACTATTACCGTTTTACCCGAAAATAGGTCGACCACGAAACACGAAAATAGGTCGACCCCAATTTATTGAACCTACCGAGAATAAAAGATTATAATAATTCAAATATAGGTGCTTTTTTTTTTTTTTAGAAACAGGGGAAATTAGGACAAAAGAAAGAAACAAACCTTTATTTACAGCCCTCTCAGCTAAATCGCAGGGCGATGCCAAAAACTTAATCATCGTCAGAACTTCCGGACACGTCATCGTCGTCCGAAGCTTCGTCAGCTTGGTAGACATCCTCGCAAATTCGCAGCAATACCTCACTGACACTGTTGTAAAATGACGACAAGAAGGGTGGAGACGGGCGAAGCGAAGAAAGACCAAATTCAAAGAAGCCAGCAACGTCGCGAGGTGCCGCGAGCAACACGCGAGCGCCGCAAGTAACAAGCTAAAGTAACCTCCATTTTTCTTTTCTTTTTTTTTGTGCGCATTTGCGAAGGAGAGGAATGGAGGCAAGGTGCATTGCCCATCATGTTCCTCTCCCTCCCCTTCTTCCTTGCTTAGCGAGGGGAACGCTACAGGCGCGATGGCGAAATCCGACGCCCAAGGGATATGTGCGAGCGGCGGCCACAGTGGGGGGGGGGCTGTCGGTTGCTGCTCTTTCGGTTGTGTTTGTGCATCAAAAGCTTTTTGAAACAAGAAGCGGCGCGGCCCTATGGCAGTGCCAGCTCAGTGACTCGATAGCTCCAAGCCCTCGGTAGAGTCGCAAAATTTGTTCGCATATGCAGGTCGAAATTCTTTGGTCACGATTATAAGTCAACTCTTAACTTTTGACATTTCCGAAAAAAAAAAAAAAAGGTACTTATATTCTAATAAATACGGTCTAAAAAAAAAATTTAGGTACTTATTAATTATCCAATTATATTGAACACCAACAATTTTCCTTTGACACAGACCACTATGGCATCAAGCTTTTTTCTGTGATGTTGAGTTTTTTGCAGTAGCGATTTTGCCCGTTTTTGCGCAGACACCCTGTATATGTGAAAACAAATATTTTATACACTTGGAAATATAACTCCACTCGCAGCAACTCTGCCGCACCACACAATAGTAAAAACCAATGTACAGTCAGCGTAGATTAAGATATATTTAAATGGATTATGCCTATACAGTTTTTACATTTATGGATATACACAATGAAGTGAATTATGCCTTTAGTAAAACAAATATATTTGATCCATCAACTAGAAGAGGAACTTCGAGCAAAGAAAGACCTGACGAATACAAGTGAAACTTGATGAATACCAAATGAATAGCACTAAAAGTATGAATATCCTAAATGGTCAAGGACTGTCTTTGTGAATGTGAAAAAAAAGAGTAAAATTATGCAAAAGAAAGGCATACATACAAGTATATCATGTAGCAAGCACATGAATGATGCAGGCACGCAGCCGGGGGTGAGGGGCCATGGGGCCCAGCCCAGCCCCCCCCCCCCCCCCCCCGCCCCCCGAATTTTCCATTTTGCTGGGACCTTCTCTCCTCCCCCCCCCTCATAGAGCATTGTCATAAGCAGGCCCTCCCCCCCCCCCCCCCCCCCCCCCCCCCCCCCCGAAACAAAATCCTGACTATGCGCCTATAATAATGTTATCGCAATTCAGCAATTCAAACCAGTCGAAAAGAAAAAAAAGGACGAAGAATATTTATTAAGAAATAAAATAGGAAATAACATTGCGTTAAAAATTCTTCCGAGTCTTGTATACTCTATTCCAGTACTATGCACAAAGCGTTAGTTTCCAGTTCGGTGTGTTAATCAGTTTTCAATATAATTTCATGTTTATATCTTAAGAATGTCTTGGCCTCTCCACATTACTCGGTTTTTCTTACTTCCTTAACTTTTACATGGTCACAGATTATTGCTATTGAAAAACCTTAGTTATTTTATTATTTCATACCTTTTGTGTATGAGTAGGCCGACTGTAGGTGGGTTGTCTGTAGGACATAAATGATCCTACAGACAACCCAGAGACTGCAGTTGCAGCACCTTGATTAATGACTAAATGAATAAATACTATGCTTCTGGTATTTTTATTTTTCATATACAATAAAGAACCCTGGTCGCTTTTAAGGTAAAATCATATTTTTATTTGTGTTTACACAATAAATGACAGGCTGAAAAATTTTTAACCATGCAAAACCTGCACTGCTCGCAAGTAGAACCCCTGCAGGTCTATCGCCAAACGAAATGAACACACGTCGGTGCTCGTGTGTTTCGTTCAAACCCCCTCCACAACTATGATACACGTGAGGGTTTTGGTCACTTGTGATGTATCTTACGATGACTGTGCAAACCGCTCTTAGCCGTAAACGCTTTACCACAGGTCTCGCACCTGTACGGCTTCTCTCCTGTGTGAGTCCTCTCATGATCTGCCAAGGTGCCTTTCTCAGTAAATGCCCTGCTGCACGTGTTGCACTTGAATGGCTTCTCTCCTGTATGAATTCTTTCGTGATCCGCCAAGGTGCATTTCAGAGTAAACGCCTTGCTGCACGTGTTGCACTTGAATGGCTTCTCTCCTGTATGAATTCTTTCGTGATCTGCCAAGGTGCGTTTCAGAGTAAACACCTTGCTGCACGTGTTGCACTTGAACGGCTTCTCTCCGGTGTGAATTCTAACGTGAGCTGTCAAGCAATCCTTACGCGCAAATGTTTTCTCGCAAACACCGCAACTGAAGGGCCTCTCGTTAGTGTGTGTCCTCTCGTGGATGGCGACAGCCGTTGCGGAATTGCTTGAGTGAGGACAGAAGCGGCACGGGTGCTTGTCCAGTTGTCGGTGCATTTGCGGCTTCTGTGGGCCCGACCAGTTGGTGGGGGGAAAGGTGTCGCCCCTGCAGCTGTCACAGTCAAAGGTATCCACTTTGTCGCCATAGTATGCTTCGATCCAGTCTGTTGGGATGACACGACAAAGCAAGAAAGGTCGGAGCTGTTTTTATCGCTTTGAACATGAATTTTGAGTACCTAGATGAACATAGTAATGAATGCCTACGTCATGCCAGTGCTGTCTAAATAAGGTATTTTTTCATTTCAGATGTTAAAAAGGTTCATTCGTAATGCTTGTAAAGGTCTACAGGCGATCATTAAAGACTAATCTGGCAGCTCCATGGTGCAAAAGCTGTGGTGGCTTGTGCGTTCTGCTAACCAAGTACGGAAGGGAACTCAAGCTGGGGGGGGGGGCCGCGGCTTGAGTTCCCTTCTGTACTTGGCGGTAACGTGTTAAAAATAACGTCGTTACCGTTAACACCTTTCTTTTTTCAGTAACCTTGTAATGTAATCGTTACTTTTCCAAAACACTAACAGGTAACATACTTACGTTACTTATTTCAAGTAACGGATAACGTAGTGACGTTACCCGATACATATTCTTCCGAAAACCTGAAAAAAGCACTTACCGTAATATCCCGAGTTATCGCCCACCCCCCTACCGCCTGAAATTCATTAAAAAAGTGGGGTGGGCCATGTCTCGGTGGGTGAGCACAAACACTTTAAAAAAAGCGGAAAAAACCGCCTATTTTTCTCTGCGTATCTAGCGCTGATGCACAAGAGGTACATCAAACTCAAAACTCGATTTAGTTTCGTTGTTTTATAGAAAAAAATGCTCACGAAAGAATATTTTACTATAGCGAAGTCCGTTGCTTGCATACGCGCTAGAAACACCGCCGATCTGCATATAGCGCGAAGGTTTGTTCCGTGAAAGAATGTCACCACTATGTTCTCCTAGTTAGTAAAAAAAAAAAAGAAAGAGAAGTCTACAAGAAAATAGAAAAACCAACCAGGCGCAAGAAGCGAGCGAGCGAGCGAGCGGACCAAAGAAGCGACCAAGAGCAATGCTGGGAAAGTGGGAAAGCCGGCGGTCGCGTTGGCAAATACTTTGGCGTCGGGCCAAGTCGGGCGCCTTGTCAATTGCAAGCTCTTGCGCAACTTTCTTGTTTGGTGTGTACATACGTGCGTCCGTGCACGGCGAGCTATCAATGCACGGTTGGGACGCTCTGCAAACGTCTGTGTAGGGCGTTCCAGCAAAGCTTTATTTACGCGTTGGCTTTGCCTAAAATATTGCACAACCGCGGTCGCGACGGGCGGGAAGGAGCGGGTTCGCGGTGACCTTCGGCGGAGACAGACTTTGACCTAACACTCCGCGGTTACATTAACAAACTCTTATTTTGTTATCCCCATCGCTTTCTTTTCGCACGGATACACGACCACTTTGGGGTCGCTCACGGAGAAAATGCGTAAACAAAATAAGTGTCTTTCCCTCCTTCGTTTTACTTTGTCACGGACGTCCTCCAACTGTAAGGTCCGCGGCCGCGTCATTCGGGTAGGATGAGTGTTCGCGGATCGCAGAGTCCGCGCTGGGGTATTTGAAGGGGTGGGCGATGACTCGGTGTTTTTTCGGAAATCGATATTGGCCCAAAAATTGGTGTGGGCGATGGCTCGGGGATGGGCGATGACTCGGGATATTACGGTATATTTTTTGCGCCTTTCTATATTTGGTTTTACCTTAGAAGGGTACTACAACGAAATTTCAGCGCTTATTTTATGGTCTATATGTGTTCAAAGGAGCAGTATCACATCAAACACACCGATATCTTGTTAAAAAAAATCACGAAAAGGAATTTTAAAACGAATTAAACGATTAGCAAAGAGCGCCTGGTGGCTGTCGCTAACGCCTCGTTTGTAATGCCCATCTAGGACCCTTGAGAGGTAGTGACGGTTATTGTCTCGCCTCCGGCCACGACGAGAGAAGAGGGGAAGGAGGAACTCTCCTCTTCCCGAGAATTCCTTTTGTGTGTCCCAGAAGTCGCTATTGTCCCTCTACAAGATTATAAAAGATTAACCCATCACTCAAAATTCTTACAAAAGCAGCTGCTTCGGTGGCTGGGACGACTAGGCCATCCTCTCGACGTCAACCTCGCGGTAGCTTTGCTCATCCCGAAACGACCTACGTCACGATTGCGTCGGATGTCACGTGCTCTAAGCTGGGCCTTCTCCGAGCACTTGCCAGAATGGGCCATTTATAACAAAACATAGAGCCACCAGGCTCAAAATACAAATGTTCGATTGTCATTTACGGATATTGTGAATCATATTCAACGTATTTTTGAACACGACGAATATATTTCAAATTTTGTTGAAGTAGCCCTTTAAAGGGGCCCTGCAACGACCTCTTGACTGGTTTTTAATTTGCACCGAACATGAGCACACTGAACATAGTAACTTCCTTCATGACGTCCCTGGTCCTGGCTTGGGTGGCCGTGAACTAGAGGAGGGGTAGTGAGCTGAACGAGCTCTCACGGCCGCCGCACTCCGTGCCTACGGCTCAATAGGGCGCCACTAAAGCATGTGCTGGATCGGCTGGATGAAGCAGGCGGCGGCATGACACTTCATTGGCCACAAACGATCGCAAACACAAGGTAAAGGACAGTTCTGTAGCGCCGCCACGTACATGCAGGACCTTTCTACGCTTGCCGCTTCACAGCAGTGCGCCGCACGCGTCGGCACCCGATTCCACTGCACCTTCCCAGTATGCGCCGCCTTTTCCACCGTATGGTGGCGGTTATGTCGACAGGTCATTTCTTGTTTCCATACTTTATAAACTGCCTTTGTTTCTCTTCTGATCTAAGATACTGAACAAAAACTACTTTCATAAATAATCGAAACAGTTTGCGCCACTTATATTTTGTATTTCAACAAAAAAAATAATAATAAAGCTTTTAGCGGCTTTCATTAGTCGTAAGGCAGAAGCTGGCCAGGACCTGAAACGTCACGATGTCGTCACATGTTGAGCGTGTTCAGCACCATGGGGCACCCCTGTAGGTGGAGGAGACTTCCACGACGTCCAGTTAAAATAGAACGCACTCATCTTTAGTTACACTTTCCGCGCCCGCTGGGTTGCCCGAACCACAAGAGACGTGAAAACCGCAAAAAAGGCTTAATGAGGAATGCAGGGCCCCTTTAAGTCCATACGCAGCTGACGCTACAAGCTGACGGGACCAATGAGAAAGAGTGAAAAGGGCGCCATCATGGCGCTCGCCGTGTCTCTGGACGTGTTCTATTATCGCTGAACCAATCATAAACAAACAAGACCCAGCGACTTGTGATTTTGCCACTGCTTTACTGGTCCCATTAGCTGCATCTGGAGTTAAGCTGGAACGTAGAATATGATCCAAATCATTAATTATTGTACTCATTCTACATATTTTCAAAATTTTGCTGTCCGTTCCCCAAGCAAAAAGTTCCACTTTAGAAAAACCTCAACACCCGCTCCCGTTATCCCACTGTCAAAAAATGCTCTCACAAAAAAAAAAGAAACACAAAAAACGTTGTTGTTGTCAATTTATAAATAAAAAGTAATGCAAAAGCAATGTGCATTACTTTCTGTGAATAACGGTAACAATAACGCGTTCCTCTATTTTGCAAGTAACAAGTAACGTGTTCCATTACTTTTTTACGGTAACACCTAGAACACTAGAGAGTTGTAAAACATTGTTTTTCTCCTCCCCTACGGTATCCGTAAAGAAAATGCCGCCACTGCGCATGCGCGCCGGCAACATTGTTTACACAGTTCAAGGTCATGCGGCAGATTACGGAGCGCTATGCGGGTGCTTAGCGGGCTGCAGAAACGGCCTACTAAAACTCCCTACTGCATCTGCATAACGCTGGCAGTACGGAGCTCTTGGTGGTAGCGTGTTGACATTCTTAATGTTTACGACTGTATATTAAGTTACACTGGAAGAGTCTTCCTCACAACCACACACTCTAAGAAAAGCCCGTGCATCTACTTTCTCGCACAACACTCTGAGAGCCAATCACCGCAACTTACGGAGGCAGCTTAGCAAATGACGGTGCCGAAACATATGTTTAGACCAAAATATGCAGTCTGAGTTGTGACATTGACCAATGCAAGCGTGACGTTTTGCAATGCTTGATGTCACAACTGCGACAGCATATTTTGGTCTAAACCTGTGTTTCGGCATTGTCATTCGCTGAGTTGCCCCGGTAAGTTGTGGTGATTGGCTCTCCAAGTGGCTGTGCAGGAAAGTAGTCACACTGGCTTCTTTTAGGGTGCAGATTACCGTATTTGCACGAATATAACGCGAGTTTTTTTCTCGAAATTCCGTGCTCCAAAACACACCTCGCGTTACATTCAGAGTCGAGGCACGCGAGTCTAGAGAAAGCCATTCTTCCGGCTCAATGCAAAAGATCCAGTGGGAAAAGAAGGGGGGGGTGTGGAAGGGAATTTATTAGCTATTGGGCTACGTGAAGGGGCGAATAGAAAACATAAAAAAAGCATTTTTATCGCTTTGTGTTTGTACAACGCACGCACGCCGCAGAAACTCAGCGCACGCCCGCCATGCGGGCACTGGCCAATTCGAGCCAAGCCAAGCCAAGTCAAGTCAACACAAGCCATGCCAAGACCACCGACCGCGTTTACGCAATCGTGCAACACGAGGCATTTGTTTATGCACAGGCACCAGAACAAGAAGTGTGATGGTGTATCGGTTCAGCAGTCTTTTTCCTGCCTGCGCATTGTTTAGTTTCTGCTCCAGAGTGGTCTAGTCCTCTAGTGTTTGTGTGTTGGTGCTTCTGCTTTGTGCCTTTTTGGACTGTGGGCTGCTGAGGAGCTCGCACGAAGAAAAAGTAACTACCAGACAAGCTGCGTAGTGGCCAAGCAAATTGTAAACGGAAGGACCTGAGCAGTGAGGATGAGTGCAGTCAAAACATAAACTGATATTTCTTTTATTTCCATTGACTTTTCACTTCCGCTATGCCCCCGAGTGCGAGAAATTGACGCTGCTTCGGTTTGCGTTATAATAGTAATAATATATTTATTTTTTTCGTTTGGGAAGCATCAAAACCTGCCCTCAAGTTATATTCGTGGTCGCGTTATATTCGTGCAAATACGGTACTAGATTAAACAATATAGCATTCAAAAGGCTAGTAAAATAATCTGAAACAGCGAAAAACAATGTTTTAAATCGACATTGATATTTGCCAGTCTAAAGCTAAACTTCGGCGACACAAATATTGTTGTGAGAAAAGCTTCAGTCATTTGGAACAGCCAAACATTTTTTGGGCTATTTCACGTGTCAAAAAGAATTCATAGTATTTGTGAGAGCTACTCCGTCAACCGAAACTAAAGGAAAAAAGACAATTTTGTAATATAAATAACCAAGTCAGCACGGTACATTTCTTTGATATCAAATAATATGTAACTATTGAGACTGAGTGCTCCAAGTGAATGTTCCTTCAGTAGAGCCCAGTTTGTTTACTTTCACTTCAGTCGCAGTTCTCGTACTTTGAAATATAACCCCTTCATCCCCCCCCCCCTTCAACCTTTCCTAAGAAAAAGAACTTTGAATTTTGTTGTAGTATAACTTTTCTGTCTGGTGCGGGCTGCTAATTAAAACTTAATGAACTGTCCACGTGAGGGAACCCTTGTGTACCACATCAGATTCCTCACGTTTTCAACCTCCTGGGAAGCCTAGCCTAGAAAAAAGTTTCCTATCCGTGTGGGACCGCTCACGAATCCTTGAGAGTGTACCAAGAAAGTATGAAGCTGGATGAGTATTGTCCCGTGTGCGTCTTCTCATACCTGGTATTCTTAGTTCTGTGGGCACCATAAGATTGGGGGCAGAGGTCTCACCGCCGTCTGTCCTTTCCTGGTCCATTTTCCATGGTTGCTTCTGCAATTCGGCACCTAGGAAGGAGAGCTCCGCCCCCTTGTCCTCGCAGTCCGTTCTCTGCCATTCGTAGTCGAATGCTGCGTGGACAATTTTTGTTAGGCGTGGAGATTAAATTTTGCTTAGTTGCTCTTTTCATATATAGTACACCAACAGAGAAGCCCAACCAGAACAAACTCAAGGAACAAGGAAACAGCGACACATCGTGCAGATAATGTAGAGAAATTCAGGGGTTTACATTCGTATTGCGGTGTAATATTCAAAAGCTAAAATAATCACATCACAAAAAAAACAAGCATCCTAACTAGATATTAAATATCTTGAAAAAGTGAATTTCTCTTTTTATGTTTGAAAACCAAACACAAAAACAATCATTCTCTATTAAGCAGGTGCTTCGAAAGTTTTACTTCACCTTTAGACATGCGGTAAAGGACTACGTCCAGAGACCCACACGAATCGAGGAAGACACAACTGGGTACGATCAAAGAGCGTGGTTTAAGTACAACGCTCCTGCTTCGCAGTGCTGAAAAAAGGCAGGCATGCTTGAAAAGCAAAAACTATAATGTGTATCACTGCCATAGGTTTTGAGAATTACAGATCAACAAAATGGACATGCCGTGTCGGCCACCAAAAATAGGGAAGGTAATGGAAATGTTGCATGTAGTTGGCTGAGGTGTGGCCATTCCCTATTTGATCCGACTGGTCGATCCCATTCATCAGGGGAAAAATGTAGTCCAAAGGTCTGGCACTGCCATAGGTTGACCTGGCTGGTGGCTGGCCCTTTTTCCCAGGCAGCGAAGGGTTGTTCACACTTGCGTTAAGAGGATTTGCGGATAGTTCAGCCTGCAAAGTTTAGAACAATAAGTGTTAATAAACAGTCGCCAACACAGGTTACTTTACCTGACCTCAAAAATATCATCGCATTCAATGAGCAAAACGAAAACTGAAGGATACCAGTGCTGGGAGTTGGTCTAGTTGGCTATTCATTACTTGATTAATCTGCGCACTAAATGATTGTGAATTACGACGTTGAGACGAGAAAAAGGCAACAAACGGGAAAACACGCATCTGCAGTGCAGTTTCAGTGCAGAAGGGAAATGTGTGCCGCTTCCGTCAGTGCTGCATCCATGTGGCTGATGCTATCATACATAAAATGATACGCAGTGTAGATCCATCAGTCAATCTTGCATTTTGCCAAAAATTCATAAGCGGGGCTCACTGAGGAAGAATTGGTTTTAGCTGAGATACTTGGTTCACGTTGACGAGTTTCCCCGAGATTCTAATGGGTAAAGAGCCCTCTTGATTATACAGAAGTTGACTACAAAACATTATAATTTAGTTATTCTTTTTCCTCCTCTTCTACTACAAGCCACACTTGAGGGAACAATTCTCTTTTCCTCTTTTTTGCTTTCTAACCCACCTTAAATTTTTTTTTTTTTTTTCCTAATTTCCCTTAAAATGTTAACCCCGAAGAAATCTTTTTTCTTTCTCGTGAAGCACGAGAGAAGGTGCACTAACGCAGTCATCCCCTTTTTCCTCGATGGCAAGTGCCTCTAGGATTTCACGTCCCAGTTTTGTTTTGTTTTTTGCCACAATGTTTACGTCGTAGAACAGTGCCGAACATTGACACGCACAACAATGGGTTGGCAAGTGTCCTCCTGCTGACAGGGTTTTCACTGATGCAGCGTGCTCCCTCGTCCGATCGTTAATGCATCGGCCGGTTTGTTTGATGTAACTTCGGCCGCATGTCAGCGGAATGTGGTATACCACCTCCTTTTCACACAGGGCGTATGGAGACTTGTGAACTGTGCCACACCTCTTCTCGTCGTTATTTCGCTCCTGGTTAACCCGGCGACACATGGAATATGCTTTGTTTGGGGCCGAACACACCACCTGAACGCCTTGCCGTCCAGCTACCTTCTTCAACTTGTGGGTCATCCCGTGAACATAGGGTGCTACCACCACCGCATGTCGAGTCTTTTTCTTTTCCTTTGTGCTTTTATCCGTGCACCCTAATCCGTGCTTGATGGTCCTGCACATCTGTTCGCAAATCGCTACCAGGAGCGGTTTTGGGTTAAGGGGAATTAGGAAAAAAAAAAAAAAATTTAAGGTGGGTTAGAAAGCAAAAAAGAGGAAAAGAGAATTGTTCCCTCAAGTGTAATTTAGTTAATTGATCACAAGTATAAATTGATCACCATTGATCACCAGTGTAAAGTATACCATCCCTTCTACAATTTTTTTTTTTTTTTTCTCTTCCGACTAAACACAAGCTTAGAGTGGCATTCCCCTCTCCTCCGTCCCCATTAAAGGGAAGCTGGAACAATTCTTCCAAAAAGTTAAATAGAGGTTGATTCTAGCGTAGTTCTATCCCGCAAATCTGAATTTTGCATTTGTTTTCCCCAAAGATATAACTAAAAGCGAGGAAACACGAAAAACCTCCCACCAGTCGTTACATCATAGGAGTATCTTTCGGCCTGCAAGCTCGTGTCGATCGTGTGGCAGCGCGTGCAATTGCAATCTCACCACTACCCGGCACTGGCACCAGTCGTGATGTCTTTTACTGACCTTTTCGTAAAAATAACAAAAGTGTGCATGCATAGCTCCGATAGGCGCTGAAGATGCGCGAGAGCGGAGATTTTGAAAACCCTTTTTATGACGGTACACTCCGAGAAGGGGGGGCTTGAGCGGTACTTAAAAAAAATTTTCTGCTGCCTCTGTGCACGAAATTAAAAAATGCTTTCGACATTGGGGTTCCTGGAGACCAAATTAAGACGATTTAAGTGTGTTTCCTCAACTACAAAAACGCTTCAGCTTCACTTTAAAGAAGTCTCATTTCCAAGACCGCCATCGCTGAACACTTTTCTAATCCTTCATTAGTTTGTTTGTGGTTTTGTTAACGCATTTTCAACACCTTTCCACCACCTCTGTAACGTCGTCCCGAACCCTGAGGGTATCGTTCAGGCTAAAACATGGCGCTTATTACAGATCTTGTTCAGGCTTTTTCCGCCAGCTCGGCCACAAGATAACGTCCTTTCTTTTCAAAACGAGTTTTAAAGGTCGGTGTTTTGTCCCTGGTGAGAGCGATCACATTCTCAGTCAGTGATTGGATGCGACATCCCAGCGTTTTGGTGTGCGAGAGTTATCGATTAATGATACATCTTTAGTTGATTCATGAGTCTTTTTGGTGAGAACTTCTAACTCACAAACGGTGAGAGGAGTCTTGCGGTAATTGATGCGTTTTTCCCAAGTGTGCTACATACATACGAGAATTTCAGCTATATACTGCAGCAGAGCTTGAGATTTGCATAGAGAGCACTCGCTGTCGATTGCACCGAAAGGGAAGTATAGCAGGCCATTATAGTTTTAGCTCACGTCCCGTATCACTTCATCGTGGCACTCGGCTTTTAGCAAACGGCTGCCTTTATTCCGGTCCGTTAACCAAAGACGTGAAAGTATTTTCTTGTTTTCTTTTTGTCTGCGAATGACGCTTTATAGCAGACAAACTCCGTTGTTCACTTACGTTAGCAGACTAATCATCTGCTGACATTTTCTTGACTCGCTCCGTAAAGTTCCAGTCACACTACTCATGCAAGAAGCAAAAGGCAGTGCACAAACACCGTCCGAGGCACGTTTCTTTCTCGTGCCCTCTCATATTAGGCCTACCAAACTAAATGCAGACGTGTTCGAAGCACACATATGTGTGCGCTTCTAACACGTCTGTAGATAGTTTTGGTAGGCCCAATATGAGAGTACTGTCATAAAGGAACCAATTTTGGCAGTTCAAACACTTGACTGCTTACGACCGGAGTTGCTCGTGAAGCATCTTGTGACTGCTGATAACCCTGACAAAAATCTGTAGTTAAATTCTTCTGAACTTCTGTTAAGCGTTTTTTGGAATCGTATTGAAACTTGTTTAAAACTTTGTTGAGGTTTCCCAGAGTTTATTTTGACAACTCACTTACTTCCTGATTAAGACTGGTGAAAATAATCCCTGGAGAAGGAAAAAAGAGGGTCAAAGGACAAACACAAATCTCCAAGCACAACTAGGTGACTGGTGCGCGACCGAAAAAATTCGCCTGGTTCGGGTATCGAACCCGGGACCTCTCCATGTCCAGTGGAGCACTCTACGAAATGAGCTAACCAGGGGTTAGACATCAGTAGAGCAAATGGGTTTTATCAGCTGCCACCAGTCTAACACCAACAGGGGTAAAAGGCTTGCATTTTATGGCAGAATAACGTTAAAAAAGAAGAAGAGACTCGATAATTTCCTAAATATATATTTTGGATTTTGTTAGGAAACAACGTCCCTGTGACATTTGAACGCACTTTACATATACCACAAATCACATTAGAAACAAACACAAACACAAAACCAAGAAGCACTCAACACCAGATACACAGTCTCGTTAACTGCTCCAGAGCCTTATATAGCCTATATATTGAAGCTAATCCTTTTGCCGGTGACCACCTCAGCACTTATTAAGGTTCCAAGTGTCCGATATCCTTTTCCGGAGTCTGTCAAGGGGAAAACGGTGTTATGAAGTTTGTGGTCTTTATCTCTTTCTAAAAGGTATTGGTACAACTAATAATAATTTGGCACAGTCGCAAAAACAACATCCTTAAAAATAGCTCGTAGAAGAAATGTTATTGCTTCCCTGCTTAGCACCACTCGGGACGAAGGGAATAAAGGCAGTTGCTCCACTTTAAAATAGTTATATTGGTTTTCTTTACCAGTTTACTACTTTAAGGGAACAGGGTAGGCCCTATCCCTCCCATGTGTTTCAGCCTATGTATGTGACCCTTTTTCTCAGGATCTGCTAGGGTTAGAGGATTCATGTTGGTATCATTGTATTTAGCTTTCTGTGTTTTCTTTACTGGACTAGATTTATTGTTATATATATATTTTAGTTCTTTTTTGCTTTTGTTTTTACTGGACCCTCCTAATTTTAATGCCAAAATAGACAATAAACAGCTTGTCAAACAAATTTGCCTTGATTAATCTCCATAATTCTAGTTCAGTAGAATCCCCCTTGTGATGTCTTGTTAGCGGAAAAAAATAATACTTCTAGTTTTTATGGTTTCAGAGAAAAAGGGTCAAACGTTGCAAAAAAATGATGTTTTGAGATAATCGACTTTGAAGTGAAAAAAGGCGCTTTATAATAAACTTGCACTCTAGAAATGCATGCTGATGTATCCGTTCGGTAGCCACCAGCCAGGTTTTCACCTCCATAGTCAATATTTAGTTTCTTTGTTTGCTGTCTTGCTTTGTGGGCCTCTTATGTGACGAGCTGTGTAGCCCTGTCCGCCAAGTAAAGTCTTCGCCGGTCAACGCCGCGCAACCACTGCACCATGAATCATCCTGGTAAAACGCCAAGTAGAGGCTCGAAGTTGTCCGTTTTGACGTCTCTCTAATTAGTGTGTCCAACAGCACTTTTCACAGTTCAGAAAGTAGGTGCAGGCGACGCCAGCTCTTAGTGCTGCTTTTTCAACCAGCTGCAAGTCCCCACCACACACTTTGCACACCCAGCTTTCGGCGACGGTACAGGACAGAAGGTCGATGTCGATCAGTGCACAGTTGCAGTCACTAACACTTGCCTTGAGCTCTTCAAAGCATGCTGCCGAGTGCGACAGCTTCGAAGAAGACGCACACGTGGTAGCCGCTGCGTCAGGCATCAGAATGCGTTGCGGAGACTCGGCGGCATAAGAAATTGACCTATGCCGACTACTCTGGAAGCGACGCTTCTAAAACATCTTCTTCGTCTTTCGTCATTTTTAACATTCCAAATCTAGTGTTAAAGTAAACAATAAATTACCTTGCCCGTGGAAGCATGCCGAAGCAGAAG